TCCACGATCCCAACTTGGAGCACGTGTTGCAGGACAAAGAGAGGTTGTATCAGTACTTGTTCGGAGATTCCGTGAGAGGAAGCCATGCTTATCAGTCCACTGCGGAGCCTTCAGGTGAGAACGAGTCTGAGAGGAAGAAAAGGGAGAAGGTAAGGAGAGAGAACAAGATGCCATGGATGGATGAGTACTGGGGAGTCCTTCAGCCAGAACCAATATACTCAAGGACTCAAAGGTGGTACGTCATTGATGACTTTAAGGAGGGTGAGGAAATTTGCTGCGATTACTGTCTGGTATGCCATCCCGCAGACTCCGATTTGAAAGACGATTGCTATGCGGATTGCATCAACGGAGCAGCAAACAGATGCCGTGGGATGTCCGCAGAAGACTACGTCCAGAAGCGATTTCATGCATGTGCTCGATTGCTTCACAACTTCGGCATGGGACAAACGGTATCTTCTCCCACCATCGCAATCTCAGAGATGAACCCGCACGATGACTTGATGAAGTTTTTACACGAGGCGATGATCATCTTCAATGAGAATCCAGGTTTCCAGAAGGAGATTTCGTTCTTCGGGGGGATCAGGTTGTCATCAACAATGACGGAGAACTTCTTCAAAACGAGGAGAGGACCCAGCATCCATGTGGAAAAGCAGATAACTGGCAACGCCAAATACTTCCAGGGATCCTATGACCTTGGCAACGTATGTTACACCAAATACCTCAAGACCATAATGGAACCCGGTGTATTCCGCACTATATTCGGAGATGATCCTACAGAGGAACGGGTAGGTGACATGGTGGAGGCGTTGCTGGGCATGTTCGAAATTGCTCAACTCTTCAGACACCTGTTCAGAGGATGGGGTGACATCGAAGCTTTGAGGACGGGATTAGAGGAATCCATCAAACGCGTCACTGCATCGCTGTATGACAGGACAACGTATGAGAACCGAAAGCGATCGATGATTAGAACCATGGACCCGCACTCTGATGAGGCGGCAAACGTGGCGCTGATTCTCGTTCGCATGAGGACCATGCCGCCTCCTGAATTCGACATCGACCACTTCTTCGAAATTGGGAAAGAACCAGAACAGGGAACAGAAGCCACTGGCGAGCCCGAGGCCGAAGGTGTCGATATGGAGACCGAAGGTGTCGATATGGAGACTGATGGCGTACAGGAGAAGGAGGAGCAAGATGTTGACATGTCCGACCCGAAAGCATCAATACTACACGCCATCGACGAATTTGAGAAGAAGATCGGACGGGCAGAATTCTGCATCCACTGCATGGAGTCGGGACACACCACTCTCAATTGCGAGAAGACCCTTTCATCATCACCTACAGTCACCTCTGTGTTGAGTGATTGGAAGAAGAGAGTGAAGGGAGAGGTTGCACCCGACGATGTACCATCGGGACATCCAACCGAACAGCCTAAGAAGAAGAAGCAGAGAGCGTCGCCCACTCCAGAAAGAAAGGTCGACAGCGAGTTCAAGCGCAAAGAAATGCTGAAAGCAAGAGTCGTGACAATGTTTGACCATGACGGATTCACCTTGATCGAAAGTGCTGATGGAGTCGAAGGAGGACCACATTCCTACAATGGGCGGAAGCTTGTGGAAGCAGGCCCTAAGGATATGAAGCAGGTGTATGAATTTGTCGAGAAGGCATTTGTGCACTCCAGCTCCCTCACACCAAAGGCATGTCATCACTTCTACCCCCTACCAACACGGAGGGAGAAGGGATACAAGCCGATCGACCCCATGACGATGGTCGGGAAAGTTGAACTAGTACCGATCAACGGAGTCACTTTCGCTGCAAAGAACTCCGACTACGGCAACCACAAGTATACGACTTCAGACTGTCGAGTACCTGAATACAGCCAAACGAGCCAGGCCCTGAGTCGTCGATTGGGAGCGAAGTTGAGACATCGAATTGGACGCCAGTTCAGGACAGGAGGAAGACTCGCACCAATAAAATGCGATGACGGTGCATGGGTGTCATGGGAAGACCTGTTAGGTGATAATGCAGTTTGGGAAGACGGTTATCACTACGGCAACATAGATATCGTGACCAAGAAGGCGCGTTTGGAGAAGTACTTCGACCAGAACTATGAGTGCTTCCGCATTACCAAGAGGGTCAGATTCCAAATGTTGGCGGTTCGTGTTCACCCTGATGAACTCAATGAGCCTGATGACCCGATGGAGAAGGGATGGATCAACGAACTCAAGGACATGTGAATCTCCAAAGGAAGACTCCACCATAGCGATGGATGGTGCTTTCCCGTGGCTGTAAGAGCAACCTCGGCACACTCAACGGACGGCGGAGGTTATGACGTTACCATTGACATTGACCACATTGGGTCGAGGATGACCAACGACATGGCCCTATCCATGGTGACTGCATTTCACGCTACCAATCTCGGAGCGCTGACTTCAATCATGCGACGAGGGCTAGTGCCGGGAGGTCTCGGTTCATCGGGAAGGGATTCTATCCACTTCACATGTTTTCCGCCATGGGCCTGGGAGCAGGGCTACAAGGGTAAACCTTGGCTGGGTCGTAAGGTCGCATTGAGTGATCGCCCAGTGGTTCTCTACATTCCGGTGTGGAAGCTGCAGGAGTACGGACTTCTCATCTCAGCGACTGGCTCTCTATTGGTTGAGAACGTCGTTCCCTTCGATGTGGTTAAAGGGGCATGGTTGCAATGCGACAATGCGGAACCCGGACAGCCTGAGGAGATCGAATGGATCCGGTTACTCAATGGGGAACCCGACCCTGGAAGCTACCTTGTTCTGGAGTCCAAATACGGAAACCCGATCATGATTCCACGATTTCAAAAGCTCGAGAGTTTAGCGGTTGAGGTCCTAGACGATACCTACTCCGAGGACGACGCCAAAATCTCAAAGCTGTTGGGTATGATCGAGGAGAATGGTGTTTATCCAGAATATGATAGCACCGAGTGGCAGGAACTCTTCGAGGAGATCGTGTACCGCCGAGCGATGAAAGACTACGATTCAAGGCCGTGTCCTAACTGTCTTGGCGAAGTCGATGTGCGATTGACGATATGTCCGCACTGCGTAGCGGCTTTGATCGCGAATGGAAAGCTCACACATGTGGTACCCAAGGAGACAAGGGACCGCAATCAACGATCACCTCCGAAAGATGTCCCAGCCAGTTCTTCCGGTGAAACAACTTCTGCTGCAGGTGCAAACATCGACGAAGTCATCAAGAACGCACGCAAGACAGCCGAAGAGGTCATTGAGATCGAGGAATCCGAAGGAGAGGAAGAGGAGGAAGTTCCTATCATTTTGAAGGAACGACCGGACGAAGCTGAAGGCGAACCCGAGTATCGGGAGGTCCCTCAAGATGGATACGGGAATGAACTTCCGAAGCCTTTCCCCTTCGCAATTGACGAATTGCCGCAAGAAGCTGCGATCCCCATCGACCACAACTTTGCCGTCACACAGCAATTTGATTTGAGGTTGATGAAGTTGATCAAGAACTTGGCCAACGCAACGTTCGACATCAACTGCTTTGAAAGTCGTGAAGATGTACTGCGAATGTTCGACGATGGACAGCGGCATGACACTCCGCACAATAGATGGCCGATAGTACCGAATGATCCAGATACTGGGTTTCCAAGACGTCTCCAGAGAGCCGAGGTCGTAGGCATGAGCAGATGGACCGACGACGTGTATGCGGCAGAAGCGTGGCAGATCTATGAATTCCACGCCAATGTTGTTCATCCGATGATGATCACTGCAATTCACTGCGGGCTTAGCCACAAGTACCTCAAAGAGGTCGGCAGCACTCAGCGCAGCATGAGTGATCCAAAGGCTCAAAAGTCTGAGACCCAGGATGAGATCATCGAGAAATTGGCATTCATCTCAAATTTCATCAGACGTATGATCAAGAAGACCTTCGGAGCGAGCCGATACAGTTACTACCAGAAACCAGATGACGAAAGTGCCGCTCCATACAAATTCATCGACATTAGTCCCGCCATCAAATCGGAGAGGAAGAATGTCACGAAGGAGATCCTCGTCGCATGCCGCTACTATGGCATAGAGGTATCCGATATCCAAGAAAGGAAATTGAAGTCCTTCGAAGAGCAGATCCGAGCGGGAAATCCAAGGAACGTTGAGCTCATCAAGGACTACATTGGCTTTGTCGGCGCTGACTACATGCGACAACTCACGAATGGTTGAACATTGGGGTCATGCCGGCATGCCGCTTCCGGTACTTCAAGTACTGAGGGGTCGCGGGTAATTCACGGTGACCGCTTTGGCATCATGGGAGTGAGATAGGATTGCGTCTCACACCTTTGGTAATCGCATGATACCATAGGTAGGTGCACGTTTTCCGCTTGTAGCTCCATTGCCTGTTTGATCCAACTTTCAAGCGATTGCAAGATCTTTTGCTAATTCAATTCAATAGGACATACTGGTTGACCTCCAATACACTTTTGAGAACGCCATTCGTTCTCCGGTTTTTACATCCACTCATCTCCCTTCCCCGTCGAAGTACGGATGTGGGGGGTGTCAATAGGGATGGGGTCCCAGTATAGTCGCTATACAGGTACATGCCATATACTTTTGGCTCAAGTGCCCAACCAGGTAAAAAGGAGCTTTAGCGCGCGAGCTTCATGTTGACCTAAGAGCTAGAACGGGGCCAGGGCACACCTTTCCATCCGTTCGCATCTTTTGTTATTTTCGGAAGAGCACTCAGGTGGCAACTGCAGCAAGTAACATCGTAGATCAACAGAAATGACGAATGACTTCTGTTTTGATAGACTTTGAGAGTAACAGGGGTCCCGTTGACATTTGGAGAGGCTATGGAAACCAGAACCTGAAGGTTTGTACAGTAGACTGTGGTTTGCTCAGAACCATTATATACCAGATAAGAGGAGAGTTTTATAAATCTGCATATATTCACACCAATCAACTCTGGATGAATCACATACATTTGATTAGTTCTCAAATCAACCGCCCCCAGTGCTGACTCAAGTCATGCATCAGGTGGCCTTCAGATTGGGCAATACACGGTTGCTCTTTATGAACGCTCATCTGGCGGCGCATCAGGGCCAGATGGAGGCGGAATTCTCAGCTTAGGAGTGTGGTTTCAGCTCTTTGTCTTCGGAGAGAGAGAAAAAAAACAATTGATTACTAGAAGGTCTTTTTTGGAAGGAGCATGGACAACTGGAAGACCCAAAGCAAGGTCACATTCAGCTTCCCTTGCCGAATAGCATAGGGTGTAGCTGGGTCACCACTCTCTTCACATTCAGCTTTAACCACCCACCGACATGGGTCCATTTGATCCGGAGAAACACACATCTTCACCAATAAACCATGTGGCTGTGGAACACCTCAGTGCTAAAACGGAGCAGGATTGAACAATTGATGTTTTTGTTGTCTATTCTGCTCATTCCTGGGGTGTCAACCCTGGTTCGTTCTCTCCGCCGCGAAAGGGCACACAGTTCTTTACCGCAGCAACGGATGTGCACGGACGGCATCCAGACGGCCGATGTCAGGAACGCACAAGGTCCATGCAGCGCATCCTGGAGAGCTCACCCATCCGCAAGCGTAAGGACGTTCTTTTTGGGCATTTGGTCGCATTTGGGTTTTGCCTTCCGTCCCTTTTGCATGCCGGAAACGATACGTATATTTTTGTCGCGTATGTCATATGTCCAGAATCAGCAAGAGCATCATGCTGTGCAATGCAGCAGGGCTCACGAGGCTCTTTCAGGTCAACTCGAAGCCCGAAATGGCCAGAGGATTGCAGCTCACATGTTGGCATTTGGAGGAATTGTGTTCAAGGCCAGTTAAGGATTTCAGTGAAGGTATGTTGACCACAGATGTGTCATGCAGGACATGAGTGGTGTTCATCGAGAATACGACCGAGTATTCTTCATGGCGCGGGAGCAGATCAATCGTTTGCAAAAGGGAGCAGATCAATCGTTTGCAAAAGAGCCTACAGTCGATCAAGAAAGCATCACTTGCACGGTGAAGTACCAGCTGAAGCTGATATCGTCCATCCAGAATACATTTACGTGCATTGCAAGATATCAACACACACTTTGTCATGCATGCATCATTTGCATCATGGCGGGCTAACATAGGGGGTTCTCAAGTTGTAGGCTGGCAACCTACAGCCCATGCAAGCATCACACAACTTGCACTGTGAAATATTAACCTATGCTGCTGAAGCTACATATTTACACTCCATCAACAAAACCACTTACTTGCACTGTAAAATACAAACGCACACTGGCAACCTACAGTTTATCACTGCTTGCATTATTTGCATCATGGCGGGCACTACCTGCGACAACACACTATGTTGAAAAAAAACACATAATATATATATATATATATATATTAGGTTGGCAACCTACAGCCCATCAAGAAATCCCTACATGCGAAATCACATGCTGTTGAAACTATAAGGTTGACAACCTACAGCTCACCAACAAAGCACTACTTGTGACAACACACGCCATTTGAAGCTGTAGGTTGGCAAACCCATTGAGAAAGCACTTCTTGTGATAACCCAGCTGAAGCTATAGGTTGGCAACCTACAGCCTATTAAGAGAGTTCTACTTGCACGGTGAAGTACTAACGAATACTGCTGAAGCCATATCTTAATATCTGGCCAATCGAGAAAGCATATATACTTGCACTGCAAGGTGCCGAGACACACTAGCTGTAGGTGTTCATCATGCATCCATCATTTGCATCATGTCGGGTTAACACAGGTTCTGAAGCCGTAGGTTGGCAACATACAGCTCATGAAGAAAGCACTACTTCTGACAACACACGCTGTTTGAAGCTGTAGGTTGGCAACACCATCCAAAAAGCACTGCTTGTGATAACACATGCTGTTGAAACCAAAGGTTGGCAACCTACAGCCCATCAAGAAAGCATTATTTGCAACAACACACACTGTTGAAGCTGTAGGTTCGCAACCTACAGCCCATCAAGAAAGCATACTTGCAACAACAGATGTTGTTGATACTATAAGGTTGACAACCTACAGCTTACCAAAAAAGCACTACTTGTGACAACACACGCCGTTTCAAGCTGTAGTTTGGACACCTACAGCCCATCAAGAAAACACGAATTGCACGGTGAAGTAGTAACTCGTGCTGCCGAAACCGTAGGTTTGCAAGCTCGCGTGTATGTATCTTGGGGTTCCTTCCTCCCAGTCTCCTCCTTATTTCTCTTGCTTTCCTTGTGTAGCATTCTTGGACACCTGGCACTACGAAAATGCACAGGTTTGGAAAGACAAATTGGTTGTGGTGGTGGATATGTCAAGGGACAGACACAATTGTTTCAAGTTTCTACAATCACATGTCCACCATTGATCGCAGCTGCCGGCAGACCATGAGAACATGCTGTTGATGACAGATGTTGATATTGATATTGGTGATCATGATCTCCAACTCCCTCCCCTGGTTTCCCTTGTATTTTGTTTGTCACGTTGTCTTGCATTGAAACGGTGAGAGGATCTCTCCAAGCCCACTGCAGGGCGACCTGAACATGCGCCTCAACGAAAAGCGCGAGACTGTGGATGCATGGATCAAAGCGGAGTCCGGGAGCCCAAAAGGGAGGGGCCCCACAGGCCACAGGGAGGGGCGAACCAGGGGTGAAGGATTCTTGTTGAAAACATGAGGATGGTTTGTTCCACATCAGAATAACCTTGCAATTTTGTTTCAGAAGCATCACCGTAAAGGATTTGTAAACAGCTTTGGAGGGTTTCAACACGAAGGAGAGGTAGATTGGTGGCCCTTTTGGTCCTGCGAGTGTGAGATTGTCGGGAAGGTGAGGGACAACAGATGGACAGGATACAGACCACAAAGTGTTCCGAAGATAATTCCAGGTGAATTGGCTGGTGCTCCAGAATGGTTCATCGTGAAGTATCTCAAGAAATCCCGAGAATTGCAAAGTGTCAAACATGTACATATACAGTACAAGTTTCTTACACATCCCGCTTGGGTGGATGTCAAAGAAGATGACACTGCGGGATGACTCTGCAACACGTGCGCCGAACGCAGGCGGTTCGATGAATGCCTCAAGACGGATGACCTGTTGCCACTCCTGAAGGGCGACTCAGGTGCAACGGAAACCCAGCTGGTCATTTTAAAACCATGACACTTGGGTTGGGATACAGGAGGACCGACTTTTGCAAGACACTCAAGACACAATGAGAAGCCTTTCAAGCAACCAAGAACGCATGAATCGAGTTCAGGGCGGCCTGAGATGCTTTGAAATCCCACCGTTCATCGTGTTGGCAGGCCATGCCGGGCTGTGGCCCGACTTTCAGGAGGCGAGGAAGAAGTAGGGGTACATGGTGCACATCGCCAAAACCTGTGTCATTCTGCTTTTCAAAAGCGACTGTCGCGTTCTACATGGGGAATGTGATGCTTTTGTTTTGTTCGGTCCTCCTCGAGTGAAACAACTCCGAGACGAACAGCTTGCTGTAAGAGTACACTCTCACAGCCACTGGGCCACTAGTTGACCTGACACACGCACAGAACATCCCGAACTGTGCCAACTCATTCGGCCTAGTCGTTCTCCCAGCCACTCTCTTTAGAACGTCACAGCCCGACACTGAAGCTGACCTCAACTGGTTCAGGCAAAGATCACCTTTCCACCCACTTACAAGTTCGACAAAAAGTCGGTGGGGGCGCTCAGAACAATCACTGGTCGTCGCAGTTCCTTTCTGCTGAAGGGGAATTCGGAAAGTGGATTCTCTTGCACTTGAGTTTGGTACGACAGCTGTGGGATGTTTGTATTTTCGAAGACAGGGTGGCGTCCATAGCAATCCAATTCTTCCTCAGAGTCCTTAAGGTTGGATTCTGACACAGGGTCTATACAGGGTCTATATACACACATATGCATACTTCTATAGAATTTACACATAAAATAATCACTGGATCCCCGTATGCTCTTTGCTTCGCTCGCTTCGCTAGATCCGACCAGGATGTTTACGACTCCTCCAAGAAGCAGCGGGTGCCCAGTTGGACGGACTGCTCCGCAGAGAATTCGCAGCAAATTCAGCAGGGTCACAGGGTGTTCTAAGCGGACAATCCATGCATGTAAGCCTTTCATACCAGTACCATGTAAGACTATACCTATAGTATTGTAGATTGACCAAGCATACTCATGAGTCTAATCATGGGTCTTTTCTGTGTCTTGTCTATTCAACCTGAGCGTGTAGCTTTGGTGAGTGATCCCCCTACCTTTGAGGGCGAAGGCAAGAGAACCAGGTCTCGCAGGTCTCGCAGGCAGTTCCTGCGATTGAGCATTTGATCGAACTGTGAGAACCCAAAAATATAAACCGAGGATTGGGCAACTAGGCAACTTGAGGGTGCTCTCCAGTGATTTGTTCCAACTGGGGCACACCCAAACGTTGAGTGCGAATGACTTTGTGACTTGTCCTGATTTCCACTTTCTCATCCATGAAACCCGCCGCTGGTGTCAGACAAGACCGACCCAATGCCACTCTCTCTGAGTGTTGGGGAAGGACCATTCTCCCTCATTCCCACGACGCCTTTGTGCGACGGTCCGACGACTTCGGGAGGATCGGATCCTTTGGAAGAAGGACGTGGCGATCAAGTCTTTAAGCTACGACTGGGCTGTGGACTCAGCGACAGCTCTGGCGGCTAGCGTTCAGGAGCACGTAGGGGAGTGTGCAGGTGTGATTTCTATAATGTGCTGGCGATCAAAGCAATGGCCCCTGGGTGTGGATAGCTGTTACATGTCGACACAAAGCGTCTTCCTTTGACCTGGCTAGCTACGTTCATCACAGGACTGTCTAGGGTCCTCAAGCACCCAAAAGTTTGCAGAATAGTGGACTACCCAGGACACACAAACACACACTCACATGGCTCAGATGGTTTTCAGCTTCGGTCGCATGGCTCCAATATGTGTAGGTCAAAAGCCAGGCCTAGCTTTCCCCTCCACGCACTGGGCCTCCGCTGAGCTGGGCCTCCAACCCGTCAGAACATCACCCGAGGTGCCCAGCCTGAAATGCTCAGACCATCGCCCCGTTTTTGCTCAGTTCGAGGTGCGAACTTCCGCGTCCGAACCGACGGAAAATCCGGGGGTCTAATGTGCGAAATTCCCGTCTCACATCAATTAAGACTTGGGCGGCTGACGGTTTGATGCTGCAATTTGGGAGTTCTCAAAAGGCTCATAACTCTCATATACTCTCATATACTCTCATCACGAAGCGATGCAGAGCCTGCAGGATCCTGGATCTCAGAAAGAGCAAACTCTTAAGATTTCGGATTCACAAGGAGAGGTCGGAGTGAGAACCTTAGAATATCATGAATATCTTAGATGATGGTTTAGTTTCTTATTTTATGTGACTGTTACTCTAGCAGAATCCTTCTAATGTGCAGTAGGGCAGACCGCTTATGAATGTGTTTAGACAGAAAGCTAGCAAGTAGGGATCATAACCACTTCCCACTTGGGAGCCGAACATCGTGCAGATCTACACTTAGCAAGCTTCTCAGCCGCTTCCCGCTTCCCCCAAACTTCTAGAAAGCCGTGGATGATGCCAGGTCAAAGTGGATTTGAATTGGTCAGGACCACCTCGTGTTGTCAGGCCCTGCGGGGAATGGGAGCTTAGATAAGTTGGAAGGTGCATGATGGAAGAGAGATGACCTGGTGGCTCAGTGGGCAACTCGTCAGTCTAGAACGGAGTGCATGGGCCTCCCTTCTTTTGCGTTTGAAGTGGTGCATGTATTTTGCGAATAGGACTGCTTTAGTGGAAGAATCAAGCCTCTACGCAACAGAGAAACACTCAAGTCCGTAGTTGATACTAGTCAAAGCTATCCTAGATGACTTCTGTCAACACGACGGGGAATGCAAATGGTATGCTACAATGCTACAAGGCATTATTGGTGTTTGACATTGGCTTGTGAGATTTGGATCTGATGAATGTGGTGGCTTGCAAGGTGCACTGGACACAAAGGATCATCCAAGCTTCCAAGTGAATCCAAGTGAGTTGAAGACCAATTTGAATTTGAGAAATCGACCGTAATTAGCAGCTAACCTTTGACCTTTTGGCATCTCTTCCTTGTGAGTCAAAAGCTGGAAAGTCCTTCGCACGCCCCGCGTTCACTGCCTGATCGATGGCAGGAAGAGCTCTGTTTGCGCCGTGCAGTGAGCACACCACGTCGGGAGCAGAATGAGACCCACATCCGGTGATCGTGCGGCTGTCGCAAATCGGAAAGACAAGATCATCCAGATAAACAAACAGTGTTCTTTGCTCAACAGATCTCATCACTACTGAACTTGGTACTGGCAGCAGATATAACATCATAAATTTGAGGCAGCGCGCCTTTCAGTCTCATTCTGATGAGTTTGGATTCTGTGAATGACCCTGTCGGAAGAATGTCGGGCATGCGACTGAAATGGGAAGCTTTGCTTTGCCAACATGTTTGCAGTAGAGCTGAGCTGAGCTACTGTTATCGACCATTGAGATCGGACAACTGGCATGCAGGGCCGCCACATGATGTTGGAGAACTTTGCTTGTAACAGTTCAACAAATTTAGGTTTGGATTGCAGTCGGGCAATGGTAGAGCTTATACATAGACTGACGACCGGTGCATTCGAACGGAGAATGACTTTTGGGGTGGTCGTTCGGAAGAGCACTTGTCCATTTACCCGTAATTCCATTTGGGAGGGGGTCTGGATTGGATTTCTAGGTGCTCTTACTACTATAGACGCTTATAGTAATGGAGATGATAGAGGGCGAAGTAAGACTCTCAAACATGTGATGTTTGTCTAAACGTCCTCCCACCAGGCCGGTCTAAAACAGATGAGTTGGGTGAGTGCACTTCAGGAGGAACCTCCGAGAGGGATCCTGAAGACATCTAGATGATCCTAGCTCTGGGTAACATTTGAGAACACATCGTGGCAAACTTAACACTACTTAACAGACATCAACAGACGTTCCATGAGGTTTTTAAATTCCATTGTTAGATATATCCATACTGACTGTCCATACTTGTATAATATGTATATATATATATATATCCTATGTATAGATCTAGAGTCTAGAGCTAAACAAACGGAACCTTTTCAGTCGCTCTCGCTCGAATCTTTGGCCCAGCGAGGGCCCAGACGCACCGTGCCCCCAGCGACGTCGATGCGCGGGACTCCCAAGGAGCGACCGCCACGAACGTCGGCGGGCGAGACGTTGGCCGTGGAGGTGTGAGCTCTGTGGCGGATTCATCCCAGTAAAACGCAGCTTCTCAGGGGGGAGGGATTCCACTTGTTCCAGTGATTGGAAGAAGAACATGATGCGACCGTGAGGAACCAGAGAATTGTCCCTTTCTTGATCTCACATCCGCGCCTGACTTCGTCAGGGATCCCTGTGAGGTTTGTGGATTTGTTTCATCCAGGCAGGCCATGTAGTACCCCGGATGAGGGAATGAGATAGGACAACGCGTGACCTCAGTGCGGCCTAACGTCGGAGGCTTCCAAAGAGAATTGAGGGCTCCAAATCCAGTAGTAATGAACCATCAGAAGCACAGGAAACACCTACAGCAATTTGTGCCTAGGTGGATCGGTTCTGCGCCATGTCATAGAATACGCTACGCTTGCTGTCAACAAGATCGTTTGGGCACCAATTTCCCTTTCCAACCCTTTCCTTTGGCTGAAAAGCAACATTGACTGTGGCCCATTCTCGTACGATGGCTGGATCATGGATCGTCGAAGAATGGTTACGACCTGTAGTTAGCTTGCCAAGACAGGCGTGTTCAATCTCCATGATGTTCGTGGGAGAGAGCGTCCGAGCATTCGACGGTGCTTGACGGTGTTTCCAGGTGGACAAACATCCGCGCCATGTGTAGGGCCGGATCGTTTCACCCGCAGGCTTTCATGTGCCGAGCATCGCTTTTACATTGGGAAAGCAAGATGACTCGTGGGGACGAGAACAGCAGGAATCAGCGTTGCTCTTGATTACTTACACATGTTCCGGTGGTGTCCAAGGTGAGTGGGTGTGTCTTTCGCTGTAGATAGCAGCCATTTGCCAGATGCAACATGCTGCTGCTAGGTACCGCTGAAATACAGACCCTCACAAAACTCAACAGATTCTTTAAAGGCATCCCCTAAAGGTGCCAACAATGAACTTACTCTGGGTGTGTTTTCTTTGCTGTTAGGGCGGATGCTGAGAGATTGGGGCCCGGGCGAGCAACTGTACTTGCTCAAATGAACAATCGCAGGAATATTGCTGGAATCCCATGACTTTTGGGATCACCATCTGACAGATGACCCGAGTCTATGAACTGGCAGACAATGACACAGCTGGTCAGATGTATTGTCTGGAGTCTGGATCCTTGCGATCATTGTAAATTCATAGAAGCTGCAGGGTGCCCTTCCTGATGTTGACGCCCTCAAACTTTAATGAGATTCTCTGGAATGAACTACAGCAATGACTGGACCTTTTCAGGTCACCAAGAGGAGCATGTTTTGGATCGAATCCTGCTTGGCGCATAAAGGACGCTCGTCAAAGTTTTGGAGGTGAATCTGGAGAATTCGAGATAGCAAGGCCCTCCATAGCGCACATCTTTGTACAGGTCAAGCGTTTGCATGCGAAAAACGAAGGTGCCAGTTCGGCTTGAACAGCTGGGAGCTACACTTCAGTGTAGCAGATGGGCTACTTTATTAAGCATAACACCTTTGATCTTGTAAAAGGTATTCTTTCAATTGCTGCTGGAGAGTCCGGGTACCTCCGGACCAGTTCCCGGAGCCGAATGCTTCACGGCACCGACTCTCGTCTTCCTCCGTCTCCCCGTGCTCTCGGGCAACCCGCTCACTCCGGTGACAGGTCACAGGTCTGACAGGTCTGATCCCCATCAATCTGTGAGGTCAAAAGCCTTGGAGTACTACCAAAGGCTCAAGGTACTACCGGCATCTACCTTCCGGTGCTTTGATGTGCTTTGGTTCTACCTTCCGGTTCTTTGAGAGCTCTTAAGGGAATCATCCAAGACCGTCTGGGTCTCAAGGTCCAAAATCAAAGGAAGAAGAATCGGACAAGAATCCTGACCATCCCCTACTGCCGTCAATGACCATCCTGGACAGCAATCCAACTGGAGATCATAAGGACCGACCAATCCATATGCCCACAGCACCTCCACCGGACCGCCGGAGTCTCCACGCCATGGAACGCCCCACCGCCGCCGAGCTCCTGGGCTTCGGCGGCTCCACAGTGCGCGCGGTGCGCGCACTGCGGGGCAGTCGCGACGCCCGCAGCGGCAGCCCGCGGGCAGGCGAGATGGGATGTCTCGTTGGTAGGACACAAATATCGCTATAACATGCTACAGCTAAATGGTTTAGGTCACACTACTTAGATCCACCAGCCACATCGATATATGGCCGCCAATTCCAATCCTAATCGCACGTTTCGAGCTGCTCAGGCTCTGCATCGCCCAAAGCGAAGGAGCCGAACGAGGCCAAGGTTCCCTGGAGATCGCACTGGAACGCCAAAGCAGAGAGCGAGAAGCGCTATGTGCGCTCCACTGGGTCTGGAAAGTTAGGCGTGGCTGAAAGATGCTGAAAGCAACATTTGCTTCAGATGTGTAGTATGTTTTCTTTATTAAGGGGGGGTAGGGCGTAGAGGTAGCTAGGTAGCTAGTAGAAGAGGTAGCTAGTAGCTTAAGTAGCTACTAGCATGGACGCAGGATAGCTCACGCTTCTTCAAGGAAGCTCCCTGCACCTGAGGGCGGGGGAGAGCTTCCTTGAAGAAGCGCTCGCACTATTCATTTGGTTCCTAGATCTTTAGGGAAACTTATATTATTAACCAATAGCAATGGCCTCCAACCTAAGGGGGAGGGATTGTTCGACGTCTGAAAGCGTTGACGCTCCACCTGACTCCACCTTCTACACCCCAATCACCTCCACCCTCCGCCAGGCACTGCTCCCATCTCGGAGGTGTGGCGAAGCGAGGCTCTTCCGCACCGTTCCCGGAGCAGTGGCCGGTCCCGCAGGACTTCCCCGCTGCGCGCGCAGGACAAGGTGCCCCTGGCGCCGGACCGCGATCGGTCGCCCTCACCGCGGTTTCAAGTCTCTTGGACCTCGACAGGACCGGTCCTCGGTTTCATGGGGAGCGATTGGATGGGAACCATGGGAGTGGACTGAAAGTGGAAGTCTGAAGATACCCTACACCCACCAACCTAATAGCGACGGCCTCCAAGCTAATAGCGATAGCCTTTAAGCTATTGGCGATGGCCTCCGTAAATATTTTTTGAGGTGCCGGAATGTGCATTGCATGGTGTTGCATGTGTTTTCTTGGTCTTGGTAAAGATGGCTTGCCCACTTGTAGAGATCCTGCTATTCAGTTGCCTGGAAGCATCCTTGAACAGGGCATCGGGTCGTTCGCGAACTTCGCCAAGAGCCGACACTACAGATCAACTTGCATATATCATCAGATAAAGCACAAAATCAATCTATACTTCTTTCGCCTCCAGGACGACGCCAAGCCCGTAGCAGGGAGGTTCTAAGCCTACCAGTGCTGGCAGACTTGCTGTTGGATGCTGCGAAAAAAGGCCAGGGTGCACTGCTACGGCACGAATGGGGTGTCTGAAACGAGACAGGCGTGGCATGTCTCAAGTGTCCAAGCAATGTAATATTCTGCTGGTCTGGATTCTTTTTCAAAGCACTCGCCTTGGTCAAAACTTATTTGTTTGCTTCAATGAGGATGCCTACCTGTTTTCTGAATGGGGAATATTCCAGCATATTCCAGCCATCCAGTCGAGAAGGCGTGTGCGAGCCGGAAAGGCACCGGCGGGTGTCGTTCGCACCGACACCAGGCGACACCTTGCAGGTGGAGGGCATTTTCGTCGCTCGGCACGCGCAGCCTGGAAGGGGCGGTGAGAAGGATTCGGAGGGAGGATGAGGAGCATGTCTCTGGATGTCTCTGGATGTTGGTTCTTCAGATATTCACATCACATCATATCAATATCATATCATAAGTCACGTCATATCATGGGTATTTATATGTATATTTAAATGCATGTTTTATGATGAAGAAGATCATCAACATTCCAGTTCTGAGTGTTGGAGGATATAGTTTGCTGAGTAGATGAACAACAAACCATTGACTCCCACAATCGATTGCAGAGAGTTGTGTTCGAACCCCAATGCCTCGACCAAAGTCGCAAC